CCCCAAGAATCTCCCTGCTCCCCAGTCCAGGATGGTGTTCCCTGGAGCTCATCCTGGGAGTGGGGTGTTGTCAGGGTGCCTCCCCCAGTGGGACGAGCCCTGCCGTGCCAGCTCCAGCAGCCTCCCTGCCAGCAGCTGGTATTCTGTTGCACTGCGTACAGCGAGGCCCAGATTAGACAGTGAGCTCATCGTGACATGAATGGGGCCACCGGGGTGGGTGGGGGGGACTGGAGGCTGAAGAGCTGACTTGAGGGTATCGCTGGGGATCTCCCTGCACCCTCTCCCTTCTTCTCTCTGTCTCTCAGGCTTGCTCTCTCTCCCCGCGCCCGTGCACACATGAACACCCTCTCTTGGAGCTTGCTGGGGATTGTCATGGCAACCGTCCAGCGAAATTATCAAAACACTTTTATGCTCACAGTCGTACCAGACCAAGAGCTCATTCTGAGTGAGGCAGAAGCAGGTGGTTGGATGCTGAAGCCATGGGCTTTGTGTGGAGGGCCCACAGTGGGGAGAGGGCGCAGCAGGAGGAGAGGGTGGGGCCCGGTGGCAGGACCCCTGGGGAGAGGCCTTGGCATTTGTTCCTCCCCACCCCTTATGCCAAATTCACATTTGTATTCCATCTCCGCACACCTGGATTCACACACACACACACACGTAGACAAGTGGTCGCTGAGCCAAATACACCCAGAGTACAGATGGACCCAAACAGCAACATCTGGAATAACCATGACCTCATTCAGCACTTGGAGGCCTGAGATCCACTCTGGGGAGACTTCTGGGTGAGCAGGAGGGCACAGCCAGCCGACCCAGGCTTCTAGCTGGCAATAGGTCTGTGCCAGGGCAGCAAAGCAGCCACAGGAAGGGGCCAAGCCCTTTTGTCGGGAAGCAGAGAAGGACCTGTGACCAGAACCACCCTGACCTGGTTCTTCCCACCTTGCTGCACAGCCTCCGTGGCTCACTGCCTCTCTGCATCCCGGAACGGACTCTGCATCCCGGAACGGACTCAGCATCCCTGCTCCCTTCTGACCTGGGCCAGGGTACCGCAGGCTCCCTTGGAAACAAAGCCCTGCTAATAGCCGAATAACCGGTGGTTGCTATTTTCAAACCCTGGTTCTGCCCGAAAGCCAAAGTGTGGGTGAGGATGGTGGAGGAGGTGATGGCACAAGCCCCTCCCCAGTCTGCTGCCATCTTCCTGCCCCATCTGCTCCCCCAGCAGCCCTCTCCATGGAGGGGAGCCTTCTCCTGCAGCCTCAGCCCAGTCTGCTTGCCACTCTCTGGCCCAAGAGGAAACATCTGCTTCCTGCAACTGGGTCTCCCCATCTGTACATCCTTCCAAGGATTCTAGAATATTAGAGCTGGAGGGGCCCCCAGCAAATCCGAGTCTAGCCTCCTCACTTCACGGATGGGGAAACTGAGGCTCAGAGATGGGAAGCAATGGGTTCAAGGCCACAGGGTATGTGGCTGATGGAGCTGATGCTGCAACCTGGGTGTCTGAATTCTAGTCCTGTGCTGTTCCCGTCACATCAAAGGGTTGGTGAGATGCACTGTTGCAAACAGTGAGTGCTGATTTCTGAGTCAGGCAGACCTGGCTTGAGTGGCGGCTTCAGCACTTAACACCCAAGGTGACCCTGGTAAGCTGCAAAGCACCCTCCGTCCTCAGCTGTAAAATGGGGTGATGGTAGGGTCCTGCTTAAGGGATGCCATGAGGATGATTTAAGAGAGGCATGTGTAAAGCACTACTGGCACAGAGTAGGTGTTCCACAGATGACGTTCTCTGTCCTTCCCCTGCAGTTCCAGGGCTACAGGCCTGCTGAGATGAGGGGCCATCCTGCATCCCCGGTAATGGCCAGCCCGTGTCCCAGGGTGGCCAGGGGAAGCAACCTAGCCTGTCCTGGAAAGACAGAGTCCACCGGGAAGGCAGGCCACACTGACAAGTATGAGTAAATGAGAAGGCCTTGCAGACAGCGACCGAGGGGGGAGCCTTGAGGAGGGTGGCCAGGAAGGCCGCTCTGAGGAAGCAGCAGGGGAGCTGAGACGTCCTCAGCACAGGGAAACAAACGGTTTGGCCCAGGCCTCACAGTTAGTTCAGGTGGAGCCAGGCTAGGACCTGTCTTTAGACTGCCATTCTAATCATCTCCCTCCTTCTAGAAACATCCTTCTCTGGGATTCTGACATGTTCGTCTGGTGTCGCTCTTACCCTGTTGAACGTTGCTTCTCTGAGTCCTTGACTGGCTCACACTCCTCCCAGTGTTGGCTGGTCCCAGCCCTTCTCTGTCTGGAAGGTGGGTTTTCACCCGCTCCCCTGTCTACACCCTGACAAGTCCCATACGGCCACCTACATCCCTCGCCTCTCCTCTAAGTTCCAGTGTCCTGCTCGACCTCTCCACCTGGATGTCTGGTGGTTCTCTTGGTTAGGACAATCTAAGTCGATATAATAGAGACCCCAAATTAGAGTAGCTTAAAAATATTCAGTTGGTGGCTCTCTCACAAAATAGCTCCAAGGGAAGTGTTTCAGGTTGGTAGAGAGCTCCATCCCACAGGGTCATTTAGGGACCCAGACTGATGATGGCACTGCTGTCTTTAACACGAAACCTCCAGGGCTTCCAGCCGGTGTGAGGGAAAGAACACGGAAATCCCGGGCAGGAATTTCTTCTTAAGCAAGTGAGACAGGAGTCTGACTTCTGCTCACTTGCACAGATGAGAGCTTAGACACACAGCCCCACGGAGCTGCAAAGGAAGCTGGGAAGTGGGCCCAACTGGGCGGAGAGCTAGCAGTCTCTACCATGCTAGAATGGTGAGGCCTTCCCGCCTTGGTGGTGGGGGTCCCCCTTCTCTGGGGGCACTCCCTCATCCTGTGTCTCCCTGGCCCCCGGCTTTGCCTTTGGCACATTCCTCCTTGTCTGTGGCTCTCGACCGCCACCCAACAGGGTATTGAAAGTCTGTCCTCCTTGAGCGCTTATTTAGGCTGGGACAATCGTGGGCTTTTGAAGTCTAGCCTTTCAGTTTTGTTGATAATAACAATCCCTTCAGAAGCATAGTAGGCTTTGGGTCTTTCTGCTTCTAGTCAGTTCCATGGGCAGTAACCACACCCCAAGTTCCTTTCTTGATGGAGTTACTGTCTGTCTGTGTAGCCCAACCCACCTCTTTCTCTCCCATTTTATTTATTTATTTATTTTTTGCGGTACGCGGGCCTCTTACTGTTGTGACCTCTCCCGTTGTGGAGCACAGGCTCCGGACGCGCAGGCTCAGCGGCCATGGCTCACGGGCCTAGCCGCTCCGCGGCATGTGGGGTCTTCCCGGACCGGGGCACGAACCCGTGTCCCCTGCATCGGCAGGCGGACTCTCAACCACTGCGCCACCAGGGAAGCCCTTTCTCTCCCATTTTAAATGAAAGTTTAAAAGTCCCTAAGGACATCTGAAATAATAGACTTGGATGACAAGGCAATACCCCTAAGAGAATACTTTGCCACAAGGGTGATTCCTTTGTTTGGCTTATTGTTTGGCCTAATAGACAGGCTTTGAGAAAGGCTCTGAGCGAGTCTGATCTCCTGTTCTTTGGGCAAAACCAGTTGGTTTTTCCAACCCTGAGGACAGTGATTTTCTGTGTTATCTCCTTTTCTGTTCATCTCTTCTTGCAAACCAGCCAATCTCTTTCTTGTAGTATCTTTGCTAAAGGCCGCATCGAGCAGCCAATACATGCAAATGTTTTTGGCTCTTTCCAACCATTTTTCTAGAATTAGTGGCTCAAGTAGGCATGTGGTCTGCCTTCCAAATTATCACAGGTAATGTTTTTATTAAACTTTTTGTCACAACATAACAAGGGTCACTGGTTTTCCATTCTCCAGTATTTGTTTCCATGTTGCTCACCACCTGTTGGCCAAGCCAGTGCCACATGTTTTAGGGTTGTTATACCTGGAAGCTTTCCATTCCTGGTACCAATTTCTGTATCAGAGTATTGCTAAGCTGCTATTAAAAGGGACTCCCGTGGCGCAGTGGTTGAGAGTCCGCCTGCCGATGCAGGGGACACGGGTTCGTGCCCTGGTGCGGGAAGATCCCACATGCCGCGGAGCGGCTGGGCCCGTGAGCCATGGCTGCTGAGCCTGCGCGTCCGGAGCCTGTGCTCTGCAACAGGAGAGGCCACAACAGTGAGAGGCCCGCGTACCGCAAAAAAAAAAAAAAAAAAAGGAACTCCCCAATACAGTGGCTTTAGGATTAGAGAAGTGAATTTTTCTCTCACATAATATGGTTCTGATATGATCATTTCAGGCGTCACCCTGGTGGGTAGTGGATTTTGATGGGTAACCTGCAGACCGCAACCCCACAATGGCCCTCCCCTCCCCAACCTTCTCTTCCCCACACCCCTCCCCTGTATCAGTGGCACCACCGTCTAACATTTGCTGAGGCCAAATACAAAGATGTCAGCCTTGATTTCCACCCCTCTCCCCTCAACACCTCCTCCCGCCGTCCAGTCCATCAGCAAGTTCTCTCAGTTCTATCCACAGACAAATCCCAAATCTGACCACTTCCCTACAGCTCCGTTTCCTTCACTCTCATCCAGGTTTTCAGTGTCTTACATCTGTGGGTCATGTAACGATCTTGTATGTGGGATCCCTGCTTCTTCCCCTAGCCTTTCCAGTTACTCTTCACACGGCAGCCAGAGTGGGCTTTTAAAAACGTAGAACAGAGCTCCCCTGCTCAGAACGCTCCAGTGCCTTACCATAGCCCTTAGGACAAAATGCAATCTCCTGACATATACACACTACTATATATGAAATAGATAACTAATAAGGACCTCCTGTAAAGCACCGGGAACTCTACTCAGTACTCTGTAGTGACCTATATGGGAAAAGAATCTAAAAAAGAGTGGATATATGTTGATATATCACTGATTCACTTTGCTATACAGCCGAAACTAACACAGCATTGTAAATCAACTATCCTCCAATAAAGATTAAAATAAATAAATAATTTTTTTAAAAAGAAAATGCTAACTCCTTAACATGGCCCTCAAGGCCTTCCGTGAGTGTCCTTACTTCTCATGCCCCTTGCCCCTTCTACTTTAGCCACATGGGTCTTCTTGCTGTTCCTGGAAGAAGCCAAGCTCCTTCCTGCCTCACTGTCTTTACACCGCATTCCCTCAGCCCTAAACATTCTCCCCGCACTGGTCACACACTGGTTCCTTCTTTGTCCTCCACGGGGCAGACAGCTTCAGTGTAGTGTGTAAGCAAGAGGGCTTAGGAGCTAAGTCGCCTGGGTTTGAATCTCAGTTCTGCTGCTTACTAGCTGTGTGACCTTGGGGAAAGGTGCTTAGCTTCTCTGTGCCTTGGTTTTCCTATCTGTAAATGGGGATAGTAAAAGTACTTGTTATCCAGGGCTGCTAAGAGGATTAAATAAAATAGTGAACACATTAAATGAGTTAATGCATAAAAAGTGCTCAGAGCGTGGCATCTATTAAACACTTGGTGGTGCTACAATTGTCCTTCGGGGGGCACCTTAAATATCACCCACTCTGGGGAGCCTTTCCTTGCTCCCTCGCCCCCCCCTCTACCTCTCCATCTGCATCGCTATCACACCACCCACAGTACATTTCTTGTTTAGGTGTTTATTGTCTGTCCCGCCCCCTTACCTAGACTGTCACTTTCATGAGCGCAGGGACTTTCCTGAGCTGGTACACAGTAGGTTCTCAATAAATCTTTGTTGAATGCCTATGGAAGGAAAGGAGGCCAAATTCCATGGATTCCCTCCTTTCTCAGCAGCCCTGTGAGCTGGCTGCCGGCACCCTAGGGCCGTGTGTCAGAGCAATGCTCACAGTTTCCTCTTGGGAGTCTGGGAACCCCGGGGCAGGGGACCTGCTCTTGGAAGCCAGCCATGGGGGCATTGGTAGGTATCAACCCCTAACAGGGGACTATGAGAGCATGGACTCTGGAGTGGAGCCCACTTTTCCCCAGCAGTCTCTAATGGGCTAATTACTTATCCTCTCTGTGCCTCCACTTTCTCATATGTAAAACTGGGAAAATACGAATTACCTCACAGGGCTGTTAGGAAGATGAAGTAGGATAATATATGTAAAACACAGCTCACTGCCTAGCTTGGAGTAAAGCTCTCCAGATGGTTAGTTATCATTATTGTTGTTGTTAGTGCCATATCTAAGTGTCATTTTTCTGAGCACGAATGGGGGTGCGCGAGGGACTTGGGGGGTGCGGGTAGTGAGGAGACAAACATAGAGAAGACAGGGAAGAGAAGTGGACTGGAAAAATCGGGTGTGTTTGTATTCGTGCCCGCGTGTGTGTGTGTGTTTGGGGAGGGAGGTGGCATGGATCCAAAGAGGACATCCAGTCCTTCCTCGGAACTCAGTTCTGGGGAGCCCGGGTGGCCTGGCTCTCCCTGCAGCAAGGAGACTGGGGACTGCCCCCGCCCCACGCGCTCAGCGCAGAACCCGCGCGGCCAAATAGCCAAGCGTCTGGATTGTGCGCCTCTGGGATTAGGAGGCTGGAGAGGCGGACGTGCGCCCCCGCGGCCGCCGCGGTTGGTCCAGACTTGGGGATCCCAGGGCGGGCAGGACCCGTGCTCCGGGGCCACCCTGCGCCCCTGTTCCGCAGCGTTCTCCGGAGCCTCGGATGCTCCCGGAACCCCCGCGGGCGGGGCCTGCCTTCCGGAGCCGGGCTGGCGGGCGGCGCTGGGGAAAGAGCCGCGACTTTCCCAGAGTGGCGGGGCGACGTCAGGCGGAAGGGCGCGGGGCGCGCACGCTTTAAAAGGCATTCGCTGTCATCCGAGCTCGCAGCCGTGGGGGCAGGAGCCGGCTATATAAGCGGCGAGCCGGACCGCCGCGGGGCAGACGGCGACAGCAGCGGCGGCGAGCGCCTCAGAGCGCAGCGGAGCAGCGACCCCGTAGCCCCGCGCCCCTCGACGGGTCCGCCTGCCCCCCCCCGAGGAGCGCCGACCCGGGCCCGCGAGGGCCGCCGCCACCCCGCAGCAGATTTGGATCCCCCGCCCGGCGAGCCCCAGGCTGCTGCCTCCCGGGGGGCCCCGGCGCAGCGGCCGCCCCCGGAGAGCCCCGCCGCCCCGCCGCCCGGCCCCGAAGACGCCGGCAGCGCCATGGCGGCCGCCAAGCCCGGCGAGCTGATGGGCATCTGCTCCAGCTACCAGGCAGTGATGCCGCACTTCGTGTGCCTGGCCGACGAGTTCCCACAGCCCGTGCGGCCCGCCAAGCTGTCCAAGGGCAAGGGCCGGCTGCGGCGGCCGCGCCAGTCCCGCTTCAAGACGCAGCCGGTGACCTTCGACGAGATCCAGGAGGTGGAGGAAGAGGGCGTGTCCCCCATGGAGGAAGAGAAGGCCAAGAAGTCGTTCCTGCAGAGCCTGGAGTGCCTGCGCCGCAGCACGCAGAGCCTGTCGCTGCAGAGGGAGCAGCTCGGCAGCTGCAAACTGAGGAACAGCCTGGACTCCAGCGACTCCGACTCGGCCCTGTGAGGGGCGCCGCCCGCAGCCGGGACTCGCGCGCCTCGGCGGCCCGCCGGGTACAGGTGTACGAACCCCTAGGGGCCCCGCCCCCCGGGGTCCCCCCGAGAACCGGGGACCGCCGCCCCTCGAGCGCTTGCACCCTCACCCGGCTACGAACTGGTCGGGGCTCCCCGAGCTGCGCTCGCCCTGGGCGGGAGCGCGCGCCGGGGCGCCAGGGAGGGGGCCCGCTTTCTCTGCCCTTGTAAATGTTTATTTTTTAACTCTTCCCAGTACGAACTCTGCTGTGAGTGTGTGCGGGGAGGCGCACCCTCGCCGAGTCGCCCCGGGTCACCAGAGCTTCCCGGAAAGCCGCTCCACGCCCTTGTCCGATGGTTTGCAACTCCGATTTTGCACATGGCTCCACCGTGCCCCCCAGCGCACACCCGTTCACACTCACTCCCACACACTCTCGCTGAACACTTTTATAATTGTTAGGCGCGGCCGATGGGACTTGGGGTGCAGCGCAGCTGCTGCTGTGGCCGGAGGATTGATATTTATTTTTGCATTGCGATGGCTGACGGCGTTTATTTAACGATCTTTTTACCTGGATATGTCTGTGAGACTCCCGAACGGAGACAAATAAAGTCAATATATTTGCACAGTGCATTTCTCAAGGCTCTTGACTTCTTGAACCTTGAGGGCCCAGGCTCCCAAGACTGGGGGAGAAGTGGGGAGGATTCGCTGGAACGGGGGCCGGGAATCCCCGGGTGGAGGCAACTCCACAAGCTTCGGTCACCGGAACGACGTCGCGTACCCGGTGCCCGGGTGCATTACCCGCCTCCCCGGTGGATCCACCCGGCCCAGAGCTCTCCTGCCTCCCGGGTCTGTTCCCCATCGCCGGTGTCCAGGGTGGGGTGGAGCAGCTAGGGAGGCGAAGGTTGGTGCTGTGAGGACGGAGAGCGCCTGCCTGGCGCAGCTGACCTCTCAGGGAGACCCGGGTCAGGGTCATCGCCCGGTACCCACCACAGAAGATCCCACTCACTCCGAGCCCTTTCCAGGCGACGGGTGGGGAGATGCCTGAGCCAGCGATAGGAGACCCAGGCGGGGATATGTGGGTGGTGGGGTCCGAAGCAGGGCTGGGAGCTGGCGAGAGTGTGGGTACCCCCTCAAAATCGCCTGCGGGTGAGGGCCCCGCTGCCCCCGCGCTGACTCAGCGTGATGCCAGGCGCTCCTGCGCTGGGGGAGCAAACGGCGGCTGTTTCGGTTCTTTGGTCCTTTTCTCCAGCTCTTCCCTTTGCTCTCTTCAAGGTTCCTCAAGGAATCTGTCTTTGGTCAGAGCTTGAAGGGCGCTTGGGTACCACGGAGTCCCCCGCACCCCCCCCCCCCACACACACACGCCTTTGCTTACAGATGAGAAAACAAACCTAGCAGAGAGGGAAAGGTCACATGAAGAGCAGGGGCTGTGCAGCGTGCTTTCCTGACTCCGCGTCCAGTGCTCCTTGAGTCACAGGACTCTGTCTTTCCAGTGCTTTCCAGCAGCTGTCTGCATCCCTGTCTACGCCCTGAATCCTCTGGGTTAGCAGTGTAAGAGGCTCCTCCGGCCCGTTGTGGTAATGGGGGTAATAAGCCACATTCGGTTGAGGAGGGCAGGTCCTCACACTTGGGGGCCCCCTCCCAGCCCACCCCTCCAAGAACAGTCCAGACTTGAGCCACCAGGGCCAGGCTTTCTGCTGAGCAGTTTAGAGAGACGCGGAGAGGATGGATGCCCCCTGGTGGTAGGGGCCTGGCGCTCAGCTCAGCCCAGCCCTGCGGGACATCTGAGCTGCCTTTTACTCTTCACCCTGCAAGTCTTGTCGCCCTGGGCTCTGTAGAAAACGAGGAGGCAGAGGAAGGAAAACAAAGAAACAAAAATAGAACACACAGGGTGTAAAAGAATGTCCTCCCCTCTGGCTCACACAGAAGGCGGCCGGGCTCAGGGCCTTGGGGACTGCAGCCTTTGGTGCCGTCCTCGCCCCTGGGAATACACGGGCCGTTTCAGTCCCCAGCAACAGCCAGTTCCACTGTGAGGGCACATGTCCAAGGCACTTAACTGCAAAGGCATCGGCGTGGTGAGGCAGCCGTGGGTCCATGTTTTGATTCCCATCTCTGCAGTGGCCGTGGCGAGGCTGGTTTGAGCCCCTTGGGGTGGGAGGAGGGTGGCCCAAGCTCACAGCTCCCTCCCTGAGCCCTCCCCATTCTCTTCCCTCATCCTGACCCCCCTCACCCCCATTTTATCTTACATCTTGGGCGGTAGCTCCTGTTTCTACTCTTCAAGAGGCAGGTGCTGCAAGCCTTCCTGTGGGTTCACCCTTCCAGACTGACATCCTGGCTAGGCGTCCCCCTCTGGGCACCACGGCCCTGCCAATACCCTTCGCCCTACTGGAGAGCCTCCTTCTCCAGTCCCCCATCTTCAGCCCATACCCCAGCTAAAGGCCTCCCTGAAGGGTCTCCTTGAGTCATCCTGGCCAAAGTCTGGGGAGGTTGTAGGGGACCACATTCGATCGCTCCAATTCCTGCTCAGCTGCTGGCAGGGCCCAGCGCCCAGTCGGTGCTTCCGAAAAGTTTGTTGGGTTAACATGGGTAAGGGGGCAGTGAGGAAGATTGATGCTCCTCTTGCCTACTTCCTGATTTGTTTTTAAATTAATGTTTCGTTACCCAAGAACTATTTGTTCATTATATTAAAAACAAGTCAGTCATACTCCTACCACCCCCGAGATAAATATGTCAACATTTTGGAGGTTATGCCTGTATTATGTGTGCATGTATATGTATATATATGTGTGTATATATGTGGATATATATATATATCCACATATATTTTTTTTTTTACAAAATGGGTTTATGCTCTAAATACTATTTAGGGTGCTTTTTTTTCTTACTTGGATTTCTATTTAACATCAGTATGTATCGATCTGTATCATGATTTTTATGAACTTCTCTTGAATAGATACTCCACATTTAATTCAGCTAATTTCCCACTCTTTGGTATAAAAGTGATGTCCCATTTGTTTCAGTTTCTTACTTTTGCCTATACTGGCAGTTCTAAGGATTGAATATGGAAAGAAGTTTGGAAGAGGTGGTGACACGGAGAGAGGCTGGGGGTAGAGATTGGGATGCTATCATGTCGGGGGCAGCAGGCTGGGTCGGGGTGCTATGGCCCCTGTGCTACACGGGGGCACTCTCTGGTTCCGAGCATCTCTGCTCTGCACAGAGGAAGAAGGAGGGGAGACAGGAGGGGCTGCTCTGAGGCCCCTGTGTAACTTCTGGGACTCAGATCCTCCCTGTGGCTCGAAGGGAATCCAAGGCAGCATGGGCTCCAAGGAGGCGGCTGGGCTGGGCTGAGCTGGACCGGGAGGCCAGATGGTGGGAGAGGAGGAAGGAGAGGGAGACATGAGCTGAGGGAGCAAGAGAGCATGAGAACCAGAAAGATGGGAAGGAATGAGGCCCTCGGGGAAACGGGGAAGCTCAGAGACAGAGAGAGATGGCGAAATACAGAGTCGGGAGCCAGAAAATGTCAGGAGACTGAGAAGAGTAGGGGCCACCCTTAGAGAGAGAGAGAGGAAGAGAGAGAAAGGGGTCTGTAGAAAGTAGTGGGGAGGGAAGGCGAGAAAGTACTCTGGAGAATGCGCATTGGAGCAGAGAGAAAATCGGGGTGAGAGCGCCTCTCTGGGAGCTGTAGAGCCGGCATGTGCCAGGGGTGGGTGGAAGCCTGCCCAGCCGTCTGGCTTTACAGCCGTCTGGCTTTACAAGCTTGTCCAAGGAGACGCCTCCTTCCTTCCCTTCCCCACCTGGGCCTTAGCCCACAGTCCTAGCCTGGGTGATGAGTTTTCAAACAAGCTGGAGCTCAGAGGAGGTAGCAAGTTGCCATCCCAGCCCTGGCCGGCAGCCTCTTCTAAACATTCCTCTTTGGCCCTGGGGGAGATATTTATCAGGGTGTTTCTTGGACTCGTTTAAATGCCAGGTTGTCCTTTGCAGTCTGCTGTGTGCCACTTCTGGGTCTGCTTGGTGGGGGGCGGGGTGGTGGTGAGAGGGAGGTGCTGTCTGTGACCCCAGGGAATCGAGGTCAGCTGTGGACTTGGGAGTCCTCCGTCAGGGAGCACATTTGGGGTAGCTCTTAGGCCCACCGGGCTCTGCAAGATGGGGGGAGGATAAAGACCACCATTTCGTGAGCACCTCCTGTGGGTACTCTGATTTCATCCTGAGAACCTTACCCAGGCGTTTTACAGAGGAGAAAACTGAGGGTCAGCAGGGTTGTTTCTTGCGCAATGGCATACGGCTAGTCAGTAGTGAGCTGGGTTGCCACATGTATTTTCTTTTCTATTTGAAAGCCTACACTCTTTCTAGAATATGATCGCAACTTCTTACTGTACCCCCTGTGGCAGCGATGAGAATGGGCCTTGCAGACCTCTGGTGACAGGGGTGTAACAGACCAGTACAGAGCAGCTCTGGCTTTGCAATCCATCCCCTTCTTTGGCAGAGGCTGTGCCCCCCACAGGCTGCTCCCCACCAACGACTGTGTACATGGCTGGGATTCTAAGGCAGAACAGTTCTTGGGAGACACGAGATTTCTTTGTTGGTGGACTTCGGCTCAAAGATTTCCCGATGGCAATGCAGAAGCTTTCTCAGATTGCAGCGCTGTCCACGGACACCTTTTCTCCCTCTCTCCTTCTCTGGGGTCACTCCTGCTTTGCAGCCTGCTGGCTGGCTTCCCTCTGCTTCCCTCTGTATCTCACGTCACACAAGCATGCCTCCTCGTGAAAGCCTTGCACATTTAATCCCACCTTGGAGTCTGCTTCTCAGAGAACCTGGGCCTGCACATCCTTCCGTCTCCTGGCAGCTTCGTGGCGCAGCCCTGCATCTCCCTCAGGCCCCCACTGGCACAGGGTGGGATGGCAGGCATCGTTTTAGAGAGAACTGTAGGGACATAGCCAAGTTTACCAAACAAATATGTGTTGGGAGGTCTGCTGGCCGTGTGGTTCTGGATGGGGAATAGCACGCTGCAGACTGTGTGTATATACGCCGTGAGAGGGTGAGGGACTCCCACGTGGACAGTCCTCTCAGCCACGTGACTCACACAATGGCCATCTGCCCATTCAGCTCCCAGGCCCGCAGTGGAGACTGATAATTGTTCACCAACATTGATTTCCCGCTTCCTCCAGGGCACACAGCCAGCCTCTGTGTCGCAGACGCTCTTGGACTTAGGTCTATCGATGTGCTAAGTTTTTGCCAACGGCATATATTGGGAAGACAAGCATGTTTCTCCCAGACCTTGGCCTTAATGTGTACCCTTCTCCTGCCCTGCCCACCATGCTCTCTGTCCCCTACCCACAAGTGACAACATGGATGTGCCTGCAACCCAGTGATTGAGCCGACAAGGCCAGTGGCCTAGGGGATGGCAGAGAAACAAGACGAAAGGACCCCAGGCCCCTGGATGACCTTGTGGAACCAAACAGCCTGCCGATCTGGAATGATCACTTGGACAATTACACACAAGAGAAATGCACGTCTATCTTCTCTGAGCCACTAAATCATTATTGGGTCTCTTTGTTATACCAGCCTTCCCTTACCCTGAATAAAGAAATATTAGCGCTGGCAGTGGGGTACTGTCCTAACAAAACTTCTGCAGTACTAGGCAT